GAATATTTCGAGTTTGTCCAAACTATCATCAAAATATCAACTTTTCATGAATTGAGAGTACTGATGTACTTAATTTCAATTAAGGCTATGTTTTGGACCATATTTAGCACAATTTATTTTTTATCTCGAAAACAGATAGAGACAGGTATAGGACATTATTAATAAAAAAGTATTAAAATACCAGAGCGATTCCAAAAATATATTAATATACGGGGTGTTCCATTTAAAAAATAAAGTTGCTAGGACTCTTTGATGGAAGTGGCAACGCCGCAATGCTGAAAATATTTTAGATCGATAGAACAGGTAAGAAAATGTGAGAGGTGAAATTTTCAGAAAAATCGTGCTTTGCGTTTTCCAGAAACGTTTAACCTACCACCGACCGTGAGTTACGCTGTATAAGGATTGTTTTGCTATTATATCAAATTAACTCGTTTAACAAAGAATTAATGAAACAGCACTTATAGGTTTAGGTTAAGCCCTATTTATGTATTTTGCTAAAGTGTCAATGTTTTTCGAGTTTGAAAGCCATGGATTTTTGGAATGTCTTCCTGAAGTTTCGCTGGCGCGAATGGCTAACTTCTTCATAGGTTTAACCATCATGGCTTGCTGTCCGATGACTACCACATCGTTCTACTAGTACATCTAGGAAAGCTCAATCTTCATGGTGCATTTAATGCTAGGGTGTTGGGCGTTCAAGTGGTTCAGGAAACGGTTCCCTAGGGTCACGGACAGAATTGAAAAACTATAGGATAAACACGACATCGAAACAGTCTTCAAACCCACGAGGAAGATACAACAAAGCCTCAGGTCAGCTAAAGACAAAAGAGACCCATTATCAGCAGCAGGGGTCTATCGCATACACTTGTGCACTTGTGGGAAGGTATATATCGGAACCACCAAACGATCCATAGGAACAAGACTGAAAGAGCATAAAAGGAACTGCGGACTAGGCCAAACGGACAAGTCAGTTGTGGCAGAACACACAATTAGTGGGGACCACATAATTTTGTTTGAAAACAGAGAACTAATTGCCCCCAACCAAGGATACCATAGCCGACTGGTACGGGAGGCAATAGAGATCCACAAACACACGGAGAATTTCAACAGAAATGAAGAAGCGGTGAACCTCAATCGAATATGGAACCCCATTTTAAGGANCGTTTGAAGGCCGAAATTGCAAAGAAACGACCGCATAGAAAACAATTTTGTTTCATCAAGACAACACACCATGTCACAAGTCAATGAAAACAATGGCAGAACAATTCAACTTGGAATTGCTCCAAGATCCACCTTTCTCGCCAGATTTGGCTCCCAGCGACTACTGGCTGTTCGTAGACCTCAACTGCTGAAACTGGGGCCTATTTTGAGGCAAAAAATGAATCGTTCTACAAAAGTGATATTGAAATGTTAGAGCGGCGTTGGAATGATTGTGTAGCTCTTGATAGAGGTTACGTTGATGAAAAACGCCAATTTTGAACAAAAAAATAACGCGTTTTCTTTCTTCTGCTTGGGAATTTTCAGCCCATGTGTTACATGATAATTCAATTTGACAAATATACTGTGTGTATAATGAAAATAAAGTACGACTCAAAGCCCATCCTTCCTTACTTCATTTATTCAGATGCAAATAGTTCGATAGTGAGAGCAAGAGAATAAATCGTTTACTATGCTTCTAATTTCCACTGACGCCAAATTTTTTAAAAGAATGCCTTTTTGTATTGAGGCAGCAGCCATTGCGTCAATCAAAAATTGATCTATAAACTAGTAAAATCAAAGATTTATAACAAACAGAAAAATTCAAAGTTAAATACTTGAAAATAAGTTACCATGTGATTCAACATTCGTTCGTAAATACCAAAGTTTTGCTTTTAGTTCTTTTTTAAACTATAGATGTCGTTTTGGAAAGCAAATGTTATGTTTCATTTCTAAATTATATTTATTGTATCAAGTACATTAGATATAACTTAGCACTATAATCATGTTTACTGAGTGTTCGAATCGGTCAAAGAAAAAGTTTAAAAAACGCTTCATCAGAAAGTAAAAGTTGCCATCGCAGTGGATGTAATTTTAGTATAGATTTCAAAGTGAGTTACTGCCACATTGAATGAGTGACACTTCCAAGCCTCCGATTCGATTCGCACCCAATCATCAACCTTGCGGCACACAGCAGCGATTTGGACCTTGCCACCCTTCCGTGCTTGTAGCGGCCCTGCCCTACCCGTTGCTCAGGCGCAGACTATCACATTCCAAGGGGTTTATGGGTTCTCAACTTACGTGCATGTTTGGAAAACTCTTCCAAAAGATCGTCTCTATCCCGGTTCTTTGGAATATAGCCCACAAATAACCGGTGATTGTTATAAGATATGGTTACGCCAATCTTTTTGCCTTTCCGTATCTCATAATCATTCAGCTGCAAAGACAGTGGAAGGGTAGCCAATTATGCGTCGGGCAAAGGGGTTGGGAAAGGGCTGGGAAAGGACTGAGCCCGGCAGCCGGCCGCCACTACACTGGATGTTCGAATTGTACCATTTGAACTAGGATGGATTCGGTATATTTGATGGTACGACTTCTTCGATTTCAAAGATATCTCAATCTGACCTTTCAATATTTCTTTGGACAAATGAAGTGTTCCTCAGTTATTTATTGAAGAGAAATAATTTCGAACAAAAAGAATAGTTCTAGTTAAGAAAAATTCAATTCTTACTTTTGAAGGGGTTTTTCGGATCCATTCTCAACCCCTGCATACTCCTTGATTTTTTCAATTCCACAACCAGAGGAACGAGTACATACAATGGTGACATTATCCCGTAATCTTGATACTAACCAGGTGAAAAGATCAAAATTGTAATACAAAAAAATGTCTACTTTTCCCTTTCTATTTTCGATTTGTCTTCACATTTGAAGAAAATATATCACAGTCGTTTTATTTCATTAGATTATTCCAATTTACTTCATTTAGAAAAATAAAAATAACTTTTATTAGAAACTGAATTGAATTCGAGGCTTTCTTTCAACAAAATAATAAGTAATAGAACTATACAATTTTTGTAACTTTCAAACTTCCCACTATGTCATTTGCTAATTAAGCTCACACTTACTATTTAGAAGTAATAAATTGCAAATCCATACATAGAACACTACTTTCATTTTGAGCATTGGCAACACTGTTGTTGTCAGATGCCATCTGACAACAACAGTGTTGTTGTCAGATGTCACTATAAAGTTTGCAATTTTTCACCATAACATCCTATACTCCTCCGCCCCCAACACCCGCCGCTTGCAAATTCAAGCCCAAAATATGATCGACCATTTCGAGCAGTGGTGCAACAAATGGCGTATCAAAATCAGCCCCACAAAAACCCAAACAATCCTCTTCCGACATCCTAACACCTCTACCCGTCCCAAACTAAATCCGGACAACTTGAATCTCAGACTTTTGGGGGAAAACCTCTTACTCCAGGACTCGGTTTCCTACTTGGGGGTCACCTTCACGAGGACCCTCAACTGGGAAATCGACCTGAGAGAGACACTGGACAAAGTCCGGAAGAGAGCTAACCTTCTAAAAGCTCTGAGAGGAAAACTTGGGGGATGCGACAGTAGAACTCTGCTTCACACCTATAATACCTTTATAAGACCAGTCCTCGACTACAAAGCAATGATATACTGTACGTTTCCTCCGAGACTGTCCCACCGCATCCTTACGACTGAACGACGAATACTACGCAACATACACAACCTGCACTACCGATACCCTTCCCTACACTTATACAACCTCATAAATACTACACCAATCGACCAAAGATTTCAGGAACTCCGAGGACGATATGCGACCAGGACGATGAGCAGCAACAACACCGATGCCATCGATACGCTCACATCGCCATGGATCCCCCGTGGAGGATCCCGAAGGAAACCTAGGAAAAAGCTCCCCTTTCCCCCAGCCAGACTCCTGGAAGCGATGGAAGACCCACCGGAGCCGATCCAGGACATCCTAGAGGATTTCCCACTGGGATACAGATAGCGGACACCTGACAGCAGCGCCCCGGAAAGTACCGAAATCCTAAACACGCAAAACCCCGGCCCAAAAACCCGTACCAAGTCACAACATCTGGACCACCGACCACCGGACTACCACATGGATCAACATAAAAACCAACTAAGAAAACTGGAACACAAAAACAACACAACACAAACACCAACATAAAACACAAAACACACACATAACTCACTCACCCTGAAGAGGCATAAGCCTATAGCAGGGCCCTACACAAACACATACACACACAAAATTGTACTGTAAAATAGTTTGTAATATACGATTTTCATTCATTCATTCATTCACCATAACCTTCTTCGGAACGTTATTTGAGGACAATTTGTTTTGTTCACATTTCAAAATGTGTTTCAGGTCAGATGGCGAGAGGAAAACTCTTTATTCGCGGTGGGCAAGCACAAAGTTTGTGCTCTGCTGTATCATCTTCCAAACTGCCGTGTTATCTCCAGAAAAAATACAGGCTAGGCCAAAATGAAATTGTTTTATTTTTCAACAGAATACAATATCATTGAGAAAATGCAACTCCTTCGGGCAGCAATGCTTTCCAACCTGCACGCATTATCTAACGATAGTCCAAGTCTTTTCATTTTATGATTCACGACACCTGTGACCGGAATCACTTGCATTTTGCCAGTCGTTCTTATGCAAACAATTCCTAAGTCTGTAGTCTAGTTCATGTTACGATCATTTGCAGAGATTCATACAAAAATATCAACAGCAGACATCCAAATGTCAGCCTCAACCCACTCGATGTTCTGCGAGTAACAATGAAAACGCAGATTTATCAATATATTCGAGTTTCAAGAATACCAACATTTCAGGATTCGTTCGATGTGAAGTCGTGAATACTGATGAAATACTGATGACTTTCAGTCCAAGTATTCAGTATGTATTGTCGTGTGGCATACTCCGAGATTGAGACATTAGGTATTAGTCCCACTAACATATAGGAAATGTCTCACGATTATTTATCCATAGTACATGTTTGTTCTCAATGGATTAATCCCACAAAATCTGACAAAATATCAAAAGATGCTTGTGTCGATTAGTGTAAACAAATGCTTATGACATATATGAGATTGTGACAGCTGATGAATCAAGAATATATGCTTACACTTATAAGCTGGAAACTGAATAGTTATCGACTGTATGGGTGTTTCAAGCTGAAGCATATCCAACAAAAGTTCCAGAGGAACAAAGAAAAAAACAGTTAATTCTGAATCATAACCGACTATATGTCTGTTCAAAGTAAACTTTCATGAAGACGATGTCAGCTGTCACACAAACTGGCTATTTGAAGAAACCACAGAGGCATACAAAAACATTTGAAAAATGCCTCAATTGAAATAGAAAAAATACTATGACAAATGACAATTGGTTCGAATGCTGAATGCATTAAAAATGTAAGGATCATAAAGATTAGTCTTGAAGTATGGTATTTTTTTAATAAAGACAGGGAGAGAGACTATATGTTTACATTCTATAAGAAATAACATCCTGTTGATAAAAAGCAAAAAAATAAAATTGTGAAACTATCAATATAATATATAAGTTAATTGGCAGTCACAATTGAAACACAGAAAGGGATACATAAAATTCGTTCAAATTATAATGGGCAGATGTATAAAAGAAAAAATCTGAAATTTTGGTTTCACACCTCAGGGTTCCGTTTTAGACTCATTACCAACAGTTCATCCAAGATGGCAGACTAAGTAAGTTCATGTAACTAATTTGACTTTTGATAATCATTTTTAACAGGACATACCAGGACACGTAATCACATTTTTATCACATAAAAAATCAAGTTAACAGTGTCCTTCAACTATTACAAGTGAATATATTTGTAGTGAATTTTTAAATTCAATTTCTACCTCAAGGCATAACCTCACTTTAAAATTACAAGTCGTACCAAAATATCCCAAATATCCACTCAAATTAATGCAATTCGAACTCGCAGTTTAGCAAATATTGAACTTTACCTGTTAATTTACCAAACTCTTCTAAGATCTCCTCTTTGCCTTTTGACTTTGGTATGTTTCCGACGAAAAGACGTAGGTTTGGAACGCTAATGTTAATTTTCAGTGTCTTTCCAGGTTTGATTTCATGATTATCCAACTGTGGGTCGAGAAACAATGCCAGAATTTTAGGATTTTGGTTATAATCAAATCTTAAATTTAGCTATGGTGGTGGACTAAACAACATAATTTAGCTGTACCAAAAGAGAAATTTTGTTACAACACAATTGGTTACGATCATTCAGACGAAGTAGACCAGTCAGAAAAATCAATAGTTCAGATTTGAAGAAAACCATTTCTTAAAGCTGACATGATTTTTTTGAGGTTAAAAAAAGAATTTTTGCTTCAACGGATCTCCAAATCTCATCTATTGAAAAAGTAATGACTGGTGGAAATAACAGACGGGTTTGGTCCTCAATATCAAAAAATTAACATAATATGTACAAAAAAAAAACGTTGAAATGTTATGTGAACATTCAAACCCGTCTGAATTGAAGAATACAAAACCGTATTAGGGCAGTTGGATACCATAAATGCGAGATCTTGGTTACAAACTAATAGACTCAATGTAATTACAAGCATTAAAAGGAAATTTGTGCTGTTGTTCACGATTTCTTGATTAAAATCAACTTTGAAATTTGTAACTGATAGTTATAATATACTGGATTCAGTGAAAAATTGGAAATGTCATAGTCTTTAATAATTTGAGAATTATTTGATCAGGATTTTGGGAACAAAACTAACGGAAGTAGAATATTCAAAAAGACTCAGTATGTACCTTTCACTTTGTTCCAAAACAAAAATCTTGGAATTTTATGAGGTCTACAACAGTTTTCAGGAGATCTAGACATACTGTAGAAATAGATTTGAACTTTCATGATTTGAACAAGAATTCCACCAGCAATGGACTAGCCATTAGCAGAGGAGAAATACTGTGATTTATCAAATGGTTGAAAACAAAAAGTAAATGATGAAATATAAGAACTGTTTGACTACATTGAGCTGATTAGTCTACAAAATTTTCTATGATCTCGATTTTCGCCCACATGATTGGCAGATTCGTTCATATTTGGAATACACCCACAAACCAATAAGGATGCACACTACACCAAACTGTCTACCTAAATGGAATTTAGAGTCACTTTGTCCGGTCTCAATTTTGCCCATGTGCGCAAAGAGGAGACCTGTAAAGCAGAACCTTTAAATTTCCAACCAAACACACCCAAAATTTACTACAAGTTCTACAAAGTGAGCCAATTGAGACACCCAAGAGTTGTAACTTTTCAGATTTTTCCATAAAAATTTCCAGGAGGCTACCTTTAACGTTATACACTATACTGGATAAATTGAAAAAAAAATGTTTCCCTTCAAATTGATTCTTCTAATAGAAAAGACTTAAACTGCCAAAGGCGATGGCCTTCAGCAGTTTTAAAATACTTTGAACACTTCAAAATTATAGCTTCCTTCATTTCCATAATGACTTGGTATGATTGTTGGGTTGCTTTGAAGGATCTCCCCATGGAAACCCATATGGAAAACATCCGAATATTCAACAAGGTGCCAGTATTTTGACAATTTTCCTACCACGCAACTTTGGGCTCTGGAGGAAAACTACGGGGATAAGTAGAAGAAGAGTCAGTGTATGCTCCGTGGTCAGAGCTGCTGCAACAAAAGTTCACACTAAAAATTGCAGGCTATGACAACAGTTGCCACACATCACTACAATAGAATCTGCCAATTAGACATACAAAGACCCGGGGGGCCCGGCCACCTTGTTGCTTGTTTTGGCATCCAGATGCTCGGGCCGGACCAGATCAGATTACAGCAGACCAAAAAATTTTAAAAGCCAATATCATTATGAATAGTTTTGAATACTAGCGAAAACTTATTTCCATCATTTTGGAATAATAAAAAAATCAGCTAGTTGATATCAATGGATTATTGTTTAATATTTATTTAAACAGAAAAGACCTTATTTAAGAAATGTCTCTTGTCAACTACTTCGTATTGTAAGAAATCTTCAACAGTTGGTGAAAATTTTACCTTATCCAAATTCAAATTCGATATTCATCTATGTGAAAATTTAAATTTCAGTAATATTCCAATTGAAATGTCAATACTTGAAATATATTTCAAATTTTCCAAAAATGTATTGAAGAGAAGATGAATTTTTTGCAGGCATTATTTCAAAAGTGAAATGACAGAAAATCACAAACGAAAATCACTGGAAATGGTCTGCTGTAACCAAAATGAAATTTCTTTCTAGGTGTGTAAAAAGGTTGAGGATACAATTTCTATAACTCGGGTTTTTTTTGTCCCAACTTGACGATAAAATAAATTTTGTGGGTTTTGAATAATACACGAATTGAACCTAATCACAACTTGAAAGATTTTGAAAAACTGTCGGTTCTTGCAATCGAAGTTGTAAAATTTAAATTGAATAATTTTACTGAACCAATCACCGATCTTACAAATTCAACATGAATATATAAGTTGTCCCACATTCTGATTAAATTTTTAATGGAAAAGACTACATATTTCACTGAAAACAATATTTACGTAAATCCAAATGAGACAACTTATAATCAACTAACAAGTATCTAAAATTTGATCGGAATGAAAAACGATTTTCTCGTGTAAATTTCAACAACTGAAAATACCGAAATTTTAGATACTTCCAAAAAATATTCGAGGGTGTGGCTCGTAAATTGTGCTTACCCATATTTTGTTTGAACTCATTGCAGACTTTTTCGAGTGAAATGCATCAAAATTATAACTACAACTTCAATATTTATAACTATCTTTGAGTTTTGAGAGAGAAGCAATTAGCATTAAGAGAGACATATTAAAACATGGGCACAAGTTTTATTTTCCAACCATTCTAGATGTCAAACTTTTGAGGAAAACAATACTTTTGAACACAACACAATACTGTATAATTTCAGTTTAATCATAAACATACTAAAATAATTCCTTTTTTCTACCGTCTCATTCTGTCTTACATCAATAAAAACAGGCACTACTTTATCAAAATTATAGATAACCCATTCATTTAATTCACGTCAAAACGGCAATAAAGTTCGGGGAGGTATGTTATGAAAAGTTATTGTTACAGAGCCCCGCAGAACAATTTATTTGAATTAGAAACGTTGGCCAGAAAACAATTGTTTCTCTAAGCATAACTGATCTTGTTTCCCAACCACACTTTTTGGAAACGAGTCATTGGACCACTAGACTTATTAGGAATTTCAGAAGTCACAAATTGAATTTTTTCAACAATTTCCATGAAATATATGTTATATCAAAATTAAACGCATAATTTCTGATGACACTGATGGATATCAAATCCTGAATATTGGTCACTAGGTTTATGGAGAAAAATTGCTCTCAACTTCCCTCGATATTTTTATTCAAATACTCTTTTCTCAAGAATGATTACACAATGAGAGAATTTTCAGTTTTATTGATTTGATGTGACATGGAAGTATAATTTTTCAAGATTGCTTCGCTAAAATATGAAGCTACTTCTACCATAGAACAGCAAAGGAACTTCAAAAGAATCGGGAACAACTGAATGCTACTCAAAACTCAAAGCTTCGCATCATCACATTATACTATTCAACTATGAGAACCACTTCGATCACGACAAACTAACTACATCGATAACAATCCAGTCTGCGACTGAGCTCAAACAATTCAAAGATGTCTCCGTAAGCCTACGACGCCAACGTCGACCGCTACACGACAACAAACACACACTCTTTGCACTTACCTTCTGGACGGCTACCTGGGCGGCATCGCGATTCGTAAACGTTACAAACGCGTACCCCCTATTCGTACCCGTCATCGGGTCCATCATCAGTCTGAGATCCCATATGGTACCGCATTCTTCGAACAGTGGTATCAGTTCGTCTTCATACATGTCTTTTGGAATTTTACCGCAAAACACTTCGCATCCGGAACCTGGCGTTGGACCTTCCCATCCTGGTGGAGGACCTCCGTATTTTCTCTGACCTTGAAATAACAATAATCTTTATTGTTTCAAATATATAGATAGATGGAAACAAATCTGTCCAAATTAATGAACTATCTATCTGTTTCCAAGTAACTAATGGCTGTTTACAGACCTCAAAAAAATGCTCACTGTTAAGAAATATTTTGAGGCAAAAGATAAATCTGGGGATTTTTCAGTCCATGTGTTCGTACAAGCATCAAATATATTAAATGATATTGAATGTTCATATTTAATTTAAAAATTGAAGAAAATACTAAAAATGTAAAAGTGAGACTTGAAGTAAACTCAAGCACAAGAAAATGAGTAAAATCACTAAGATAAATAGAATTACAATCCAAAATACAGATATAAATTGAGAGAATAATATGAAGGATACATATATCTAAGTAATAAGTGTATACATTAAAGAATTTGGTGTAAGTATAATCAATCCTCAAGTTCTTCTCAGAAGCTATTTGAATTTTAACAGCCCTATACCTGTGATCTCAAGATGTATTTTTTCCATTGAACATTCTAAGTGCATACATATAGTTTGTATGATTGAAGGAAACATGAAACAAATCATTTCATTTCTGAGATATCTCTTTGGCATATGTAAGTGACTGCTCTCGAGAAGTTCCATGTATGTAATAAAGCCATGTATATAATATACCAAAGAATTATATAATTATGATTGTCAATGCATATATTCATTTTATATGTGACACAGAGATTTTTATAAAATGATGACCAAATAACAGAGCCATATTCTGAGAGAGACTATCAAGGCAAGATGCAAGATGCTCTGAATTGATTGATAACGTATTAAAACATGGGCACAAGTTTTATTTTGAACATCCAACCATTCTAGATGTCAAACTTTTGAGGAAAACAATACTTGAACACAACACAATACTGTATAATTTCAGTTTAATCATAAACATACTAAAATAATTCCTAATTCGTAATATAAAGTAGCTTTGATGTATTGACAGCAAAATAATTTATATGATCTACAAATAGCGATTGCTCGTCAAAAATAACTCCTATATCCTGCATTGACGCTACACATGTTAGTGGATTACCATTCAGGAAATATGAGGTGTGAAATTATCTATTCACTTTGTAAAAGCTGATAAAACTACATTTGCCGATGTTCATGTGTGAATTGTTTTCAATTGATCACCTATCCAAGCTATTTAAATAGTATTTTAACAGAGTAACATCGTCTAACGAATCTATTTGTTTGAAAATTTTCAAGATCATCTGCAAACATTAGAAAAGTTGAATTTTCAAAACATTCTCTATTGAAATTAACATTCAGGGTTAGTACTAGTCCTGAATATTAATTACGCTTTCACCAATCCCCTCTCTCTGCTTCACCGGTTTAGTGGAAGTTGGCCGTGTTTCCGCTTGATTGAAGGTTTCCATTTGTTTCATATCTCTACTCGAAATTTCCTAAATGCGTCGTTGGACAATACATATACAGCTTCTTTGAACTTTTTTGGAATCGCAGTTTGTTTTTGGTGGCCTTGTTTACGTGAGGCTGCTACGGATGGTGTTTCCGGATCTGAAGCAGGTTCTGATGTTGAACATGGACCCAATTCTAATCATCCTTGCCGACAATCCTCTGACGTAGGGAAGGCCAAGCACTGATTGTAACGGCTTCTCTTCCTTGCAAGGCTGTCTTCTAGCCAAAATATGTTCCACCATCACTTTGGAGTGATGCTAAAGATCCTTTTTGATGATGCCTAGTTCCTTTTCGAAACCTTCCTTTTATTTGTTCTTTCAGAGATTTCAAATCATATCACAATCATATTACACAATGGAAATCTCCCCATAAAGAGTTGGGATTTGAAAAAAATTTGTTATTGATATTTTTGTTGTGCGAAGCTCGGCAACTAATTAGTTCTCAATGAGACTACATCGTTAGTTCATTTATAAATAAAAACTATTCGCTTACCAGTCGTAACATCTAAAGTGTATCCTGTCCTGTCGAGAATTTGCTTGATCTTTTCTTCGTCGGGGCCTTTGACGGGCGCAGGCGCAGGAGTAGCTGTTCCCGCCACGCTGGATCCAGCTCTGCTCTTCTGCCGGTACGTTTTCATGACCCCGCACAAGTACGCGGATTTGTTTGACACATGCTCCAAGTTGGAATCGAGAAATTGACCCAGGACGTTGAGGGCTCCATCGACGGGGAATTCTTTGAGGGCGTCGAGTGCCCTTTCGTCTAAATCGACGTGCGCGAGTTTGCCAGTCTTGTAGATCTCATCTAATTTAGCAGCCACCTTCTCGTCAAGGCCATATTCTATGAGCTTTTGGTAGTCTTCGGTTCGCTCAACGTCCTGTTCTATCCTCATTGGTTCTTCCGGTACCTCACCATTACCTTCTGCCATAGCTGTAACCGATTTAGAAAAAATAATTAGATATATTTCTGCAAACAAACTGAAAAATAATTTGTCTTGAAATAAATTTCATTTATAACATGATCAACAGAGGAACTGTCACTTTTTGTCAACATAACCTTGTTATTTATGCAGAGAGAAACTGCGATCACAAACACCAGTACTTATTGATAGTAATGGTGTTTGTGTTAAGTTTAAGAATCCAGTATACAGGTACAAATTTTAACAAGTGACAATAACTGGTTCAAAATTAATAATAAAAGTATACCTTTTTCAAAGGATGAAATACATGTAAAGTGAGTTCGAGTTATATCAAGGAGTTTACGTACAGCGACATCTGCCCGCGAATACAAACAAACAAACATACATACATATATACAGGTGAAGCTAATAAAAGCTTGTTAAAAATGGAGATTTGAATTGCTTATTACTGATATGATTACCTCCATGCCCAAATTTGATCAAGACAAGCAAATCTATGAATGGAACTTACACTGTCAAACTAATGTTTGGAGTGAGCTCAATTCACAGATGTGTAAGCAAAGGATTTTTCAAGATAAGGCTCTAACAACGACGTGAATATACAAATTCATTTTTTTCTGTAGGGTTTCAAAGTGATCAAAAACATTTATTTGAACGAAGCTAACAATATAGATGAATTTCTTTTCGTATATTTATGTTGACTTAAACATTAGAAGTCTCTAATTGAAACAATACTTATAGTGACACAATTTTTGGAAATGGTTTCGCCAAAAGCATCCTGACAGACATTCGTTTGTAAAAACTTCAAATTTCGTGAAACTAGATTCGTTCAATACAAAAAACAGTGTGGAAATTCGGTACTCAACGAAGCAACATAGTTAGAAGTAGAGTTCTTTCTATATTGGCCGAACTTGGAAGAATTTTCTCAAAAAAAATAAAAGAACATAGATGTAGTCTAGACCAAACTTTTACAAACCATCTTTTCACGGAGAGACACGAGTTCAACTATGATTGCGACGTATTGCATTTGGACGAGGAATGTTCGAAACTCAATTTTTTTTAATGCTCAGAAACTCGCTTAAAGATCAATAGATTCAAGAATTCGAAACTATGGCTCAATGACCAAATGGACTTGAATTATTCCCTCTTCATTGACATTTTGTTGTGACGAAATTGGTGTATAGGGTAGATTTTAATTGAGGTAACATTAGATCGGAGGTAGTTTTACTAAAAGTGTCGGTATATGCCCGAGGAGTAACGGCACTGTTATTTAATATACTTCGAAATATTTGAAAAATTGATGCACTTCGCACTGCATCTGAGTACGCATCTGCATTGCATATGTATTGGTTGGTTTCCGGGCTTTGCTGTGGTCTTCTTTGGTAAAAAGTTTCAACTGCAACTGCGTAAGTCATCTTTAGTTGACGTGTCAACTGAAACTGTATCTCTCATTTCTGCCGTGTCATTTACAGTGCTGATTTTTAGGCGCACTTTCACTGATGGCGGGTTCTTTCAAATTTCCCGCGCGACTTGGCTTCGTTTTGGCGCTTTTTCAAAGCTGTGTACCAGTTCTTGGGTAGATATGTTCTCTCCTGTTGAAATTCTCTTGGTGTTTGTGTATTTCTATAGCTTCTAAATACATTCTTGTTGAATAATGATTCGACGTTGCTAGCCTCTCGGTATTTTCGAACAGGATCTTGTGTTCCCGTCGGACAGTGCATGTTCGGCGACTGCAGACTTCTTGGTCTGTCTCAATCGGCAACTCCGCGTGTACTCGACTACACGGGTACAATGCTTCTTTTCGTCTGACCGATATAGACTTTACCACAGTTACATGAAAACCTGTAAACTCCCGTTGATTTGAGTGGGCCTCTGCTGTCTTTTGCTTGTACGTGAAATAATGACACATCCAGGTAGTCATATTTGGGTTTTTTGATAAGTTGCATGTTGAGTAAATTTTACACTTCGGTAAATGACATAATCAGGAGGTAAATGACATAATCAGGAGTTGAATGACAAAATCACGAGGTAAATGACATATGAGGAGGTACCCTTTTTTCCCAAATAGGTACTCACTTAGAATTCATCATATTATTAAAAATATCACGTCCCGTCTTGAGAATCCACTCAGTTGAGAATTTTCTAAATTCTTCAATATTCTGAATCTTATGAGGTATTTGCTTATTTATTCTCGGTGCCAGGTAATTGACACTTCGATTCTCTTCTTTGGTTCAAAGACGGTGTTAATTTGCTCATTCTTCAGCCATAGAAATATACAAACACCAAGAGAACTTTAACAGAAAGGAAGAGAGAACATATCTACCGAAACTCTGGCACACAGCATTGAAAAGCGCCAAAACGAAGCCATGTCACTCAAATCGCGCGGGAAGTATGAGCGAACCCGCCATTAGTGAAAGTGCGCGAAAAATTAGCGCTATAAACGACACGGCAGAAATGAGAGCTTCAGTTTAAGTTGACACGTCAAGAAGAGAACTTCAACCAAGCCACTGAAGATGACTGACGCAGTTGCAGTTGAAATGTTTGGAGCCTACAATCCTATACCTTTACAGATTTCAGCAAGCCAAGAGGCGATAACGCGATGATCATTGTTTATAAGCACTAAATCTCGTGATTGGAATGTACTTTTGATAGTGATAGTCATTGAGATTCGAATTACTCTTAATATAAAAAAGCAGTAAGTAGATAATGTTGCAGGTCTGAAGAAAGCTTAGTATAGTGAAACGTGTCTCATTTTTTCAAACTGTTAAGAGAAAATCTCACAATAGGTTCGTTCCAACCAGCATTAGAAACAGTTTCTGACAGTCAGGATTCTGCGCAGTAATGTGATTGCGTTCCAACGTGAGTTTCCAACTATTAGTAAACTATCAGTTTTCTGTTCCATCCAAGATTCAAACCTGTTCGAAATCTATCAGAATGGTTTGAGGATTATCTTCTAACCTTCAATCGGACGCATGCGTATTCTGTATTACTGTTTCTGTTTTATGTTCATGCAACTTGTAAACAACATAACCTGCAAACATTGTTATAAAATGAATTATGTATTTGCTGGCGCAGGAAAAATTAGGAATTCTTCAAGTGAACCTAAAATATGAACATCTTTAATTACACAAATTAATTATTGCGGTGACCTCCCAGTTCCATGTTGATTAGTAAATAGAATAAAGATATAAAATACTGCAACCTTATTTTACTTTCCAGAAATACACTTGACTAGATTTATTTTTCAAGGTTATGTTGAAATTTCATGCCAAACTTCAGTTGAACTATCAGCTGTTCCAATCAGAAATTTCAAATCAATCAGAAACCAATATTTACCAGACATGCGCGTTGACAACGATTTACAAACAGTTGGAAATCTGTTTGTGACTCAAGGTTGGAACGAACCTAATATAAATTGTTTCCAGGACGCCACTGTAACGTATTTCATCTCGTGATTAGAGGTCGTGCGAAATGTGGCAACACCGGTAACCCAGTGCAGTATCAAGGAATGCACATATTATACACAGGCGCACTCTCTCGACTCTTGAGTGCATCACAAACTCCTCTCCAACTAAATAAAATACGCATACCACATTCCACGCCAAATATAAATGGCAATCACCTTGAAAAAGTACACTCACCAAAACAGTATACTGCCGAGATCGCTGCAGAGCCAACTACTCCTTTCATGCGTGCTTTTATGATTCATTCCGACATATTCTACAATTTATTTTAGGATGAGTTTTTCGTGGTTAGCGACAAACGCGACGCAATTGAAGATTACTTGTTATCAGAAGACCGAATGGAATGGTTATTTTGACCGCACAATGACCATACTTAGAGGAGAGTGGAGTTTTACGAGTTTACTTCGATGTTTTTTACAATTATTGAAAATTTCTACCGATTCCTCAGCATTAGTTTTTCAAATGAATCGGTTTGAAAAACAGTCCTTGTACAAAAAAATCGATTTTCGTTTTTTCGATTATTTTGTATAATGTTAAGATGGAGAAGTGAAAAGCCAAAAACTTTCTTTCTCAATTAATATACATTTTCAATAATAAAATAAATGAGGAAATGCATAAACAAAAAATGAAACTTCAACAGAAAAAATGAAAACACAAATTTAAAAACACGATAATAGCCTTTACATTATTGACGCCAATTTCTGGTAACTCAGAAATGTTATTTAGTGTCCTCCTATAAATAAAGAGAAAAAAAGAACGTAGATATTATAATCAGTAGCCATATTGTTTGTTGCATGATTATTCAAGTCGAAACCTTCCAGTGGAAAGTTGATGGAGGCATTTATTTCATTTCCAAAACATTCTTTAGGAGAAAACATCTTCAAAAGTATGTTAGGGAGTGCGTTAGGATCAGTGCTCTGTACAGCCCTGGCCCAGTGAGGCATTCCTTACAAGTATTTCTAAAATTCGTGGAAACTCATGGATTGATACGATATTGCAGGCATTTGCTTTTGTATCTGCACTTCGAACATGTCGGTTTTTTGTCTCCATCCAGAGTTTTTTTCTATTGTAAAGGAATCCGAGCATTTTGTGGTATGAGTTGAGACAAATTCTAGAATGGATCAGAAGTTACCGATTAGTGTACAAGAAGACCGAGAAAACCGTCCAGATTCTTAACCAGGACTCCTGTGCTTTATCCTTGTCACTCAATTATCATCCATTTTAGATAAGACTTGTTTAGGTTTCTCAATTTTACAACTGACTTCTTGCAAACATTCCAAAAGATATCGGGGAAACTATTGGGTGCTGCACATGTAACGTGAAATGAACGCGAATTTTTGGATTTGCTTCTTTGAAGAAATTGTGTTCACCATTCTGTTTACTGGTTGCTAGTGCTTTGATTAGAGCACCCTCCACACTAGAAATATTAGTATTGTGGCCTCTTTTAAGATACTTCAATAACCATCCTACATGAACCGTTTGTGAAACACGTTTTACCGATATTTTTGACCCCATCAGCCCACGAAGGATGTGTTACTAGTGTAATATTGTTGAAACTATTTCTGTTCCGTTCACCGCTAATGTCTTCTTTTGAATAGCCTGAGATATGGTGATTCTCCGTCATTTCAACTGCAGAACGAGGAATAACCGTAATATTTAAATTCCATCCCTAACTAACTAACCTCCGTATATTACACTTAACTAAAATGTGACCTCATTGACATTTAGCATTCTTTAGCTTTTTTTAAATTCTTCATGATTTTTACACGCTTTATATTAGCTTCACCTGTATGTATGTTTGTTGATTGCTTGATCTGTTTGCGGGCAGATGGCGCTGTAGGTAACTATCAATTATTGCTTGATCTGTTTGCGGGCAGATGGCGCTGTAGGTAACTATCAATTATTGCTTGAGCTATTCGCGGGCAGATGCCGCTCTACGTAACCTCCGTGATAGGTTGGTCAAAAGAAAATCAAAATCAAAACATATTTTAAGAATTATAAGTGTTAGCGAAATTTTGTACTACAGATGAAATATTTATAGTCTATTTCAAAAGAGTGTAGAGTAATAAAATCTCATTAAGTATTCAAAAGCGCTACAGGGTGATCCGTCAATAAATTCTGTCACTTCCTTTGTCTGCGTTGCAAAATTATGTCGTTTCATAAAGAGCAGGTAGGTATCACCCTGTTTTAAGGGATTTGTCCATTGTTATCGACGGATAAATACTGAGCCAGAGGCGCGCTAGTGTATATATTACACTTTGATATTTCTCTAGATGGTAATGACCTAAGTTATTGGTTGGTCACCTTGACATCAACTATGGCAAGCAAAATCGTTTCAACTGGCGTTCGGCCTTGTAACGAATCCAATTGCGTATTTAATTGAAAAAAACTATCAAATAGATGATAATTCGGTAACATTCTCCAAGAGTTCCAATAGTAAAATATCTTAATGAAGTGGAAATTTTTGTTGTTTCATTAATGATGCATTGAATATTAAAAATTTTGGAGAAATGATTGCAAAAATAAGCAAAACAGTAGCATAATGTAAATCTTTGTTGTTCGGACAAAAGAGATTAATTAATATTTTTCGCAAATATGCCAAATAAATTAAAAACTGTGCTTCTCTTAATAAGGTAAACAGTTTAGGACAGGTAAAATCATAAGTTTATATATACCTCCTTGATACTTATATTGTAATAGAAGGATCAAAAAGTTCTATAGTGATAAATCAGTCAATCAATCACCTAAATTGCTTTACGCTTGTTTCATTCAGAAACTAATACAAAAACAACAGTCCATTTATTTGGTGAAAAAACTTCTTCTCTAACATAATAATATAATATTTTTACATTCTGAATCATAACAGCACTATCTATGAACAACATATGTTCATAGTTTCAGCTGTTTAGTTTTTTGGTGAGAGTTATAAAAGTTAGAAGTGGTTTCGTCTTCAGCGATTTTCTGCTAACGAAAAAATTGATCAATTTTTGGTCAATGAGGAGTATTATCTTCAATTTATTCTTTGACAGCGTATAATCTTCAAATTGATCAGTAGGCAACAGTTCTTCAATTGATTTTTTTCGATACTGAAATATGAGCATCAATAAGATCAACACTATTTTTTCGTTAAATCATTAAACAGTGACATCGGTGCATCCTGATCTGTGGTTAAACTCTGTTGAGATTTTGTGATTATCACATTAGCTTTTATTGCACCTCAAACTTTTCAAATAAACATTTGATACGATAAACAGTGTACCACATTCAATTCCCTTCGTGAAATATGTATCAATCCTTTCATACTACGTCAATTAATCGACTAAGAAAAGTAACTTCCTCAACCTCAACTTTCGCAAAAGAACAATTTATAACAACCACATTAAATCGCTCAATTTACTAACGAAACCTGGTGCATTCGAAACATTCTCGTTAACGTTTAAATTAACTAGTTAGTACATGTTCTGTCCGCCGTCTGCCCCTCTTAACACTTACCGAACCTGAACAGATGCTTGATTTTCAAAAAACTCATCGCCAAAATCCCGAATAAGCCGTACACTGAAATAACGACTTGGTCACGGACGTATTCAAATTTCGACATCACCGGAGAGCACGTAGAGCAAATAAAGAGTCCGATTATAATATGAGACAACGATTTTTAGCACCCTAACATAATTGATCGTCCCCTAGACAGAATCTTTTATTCGTTTAACAACAGGCCATACAGCGAAAGGGGGAACATCTTTTGATAAATCTTAGAATTGCCTCCGTGAAAATATCGGTGCTTTGATCGACGCTATAATATATTTTACTTCATGGCAGAGAATACGAGTTTCGATGTCACGAGATCAAATGAAATCACTTAGACGTATATACTATTATTGTATTATCTCCATTTTTTGCATACCTACTCGGTATGAAAATGTTAAAATTATATTCTTCTACAAATCGTGAATGGAACTGGCCTATATTTGATGAAAATATCACCAATACAACTGCTTGACGAAGCTTCCTCAAGGAGTCCTGCACAAAAGCATACTTGAACCATAAACGATATTTAATATCAGCGACATCACAATTCACATCTTCCTTTCAGTTTATATCACAAAGTTGTAGAATCTGCAACACTGTTTCGTCACATGAACAGCGATGTTAACGGTATCTACGTTATCTTAAAAAATGTTCAAGTTCAAATGAAATCACGTAAGTCATCGGTTGATAAATTTGCATCAAAATTCTACACGTATGAGTCGCTACACCAGTGTATAAGCATCTTGGTGTTGGATAATAATGACCTAACATAACTACATATTCTCTTTTTGGTGATGAAGCAGTATTATCAAGTCTTCAAGTAAGTATTTAGCAGGGTATCACTCTTACCAGCTGACCTGATAGAACACTCACCAAGTAATCGGCTTTGTCGAGAGGCCCGATTTATTTGACCAAGTTTGACTTGTTGTAAGTCACAATAAACCCTTGCGGATTGTAGTAGAGATTCGAACATACCAACCTAACTATATAACAGATATTGGTACATCAATATATTCGCATAGATATGAACCCGCAACAAATCAAAAATCGACCCAATGAGACGAATGTAACAAAAAGTGTTTCTTTTCGAAAAAAAGTTTACTTGAATAGTCTATTGCTAACCAGAATCCAGAATAATCGAGGTGATCAGAAAAAACAATCGAAAGCGACCATTCACCCATACATATTGAGGATAGTAATGATGACAACAATAATAATAATGACGATACTATATACCGGCTTGCCGCAGTAATGCAGAAACCTTTTCCGGATAAATGCAAGGCCGTCATTCTTGGTTCATTGCATCTACTTAGGGCACACGATTGCCGGACCCAATGATCACTAGTCGGTTCAACTGACGAAACCTTTCAGGTAAAAACGTGATAATAATGAAGGTCTTCATTGAAGAAGTTTCCCAAAAGTAAATGATTTTATATGATGTAGAACGCGATTCAATACAGGACCACCGGTATACTGTGATATCAGTTGCCTCTTGAATAGTCTATTGCTAACCAGAATCCAGAATAATCGAGGTGATCAGAAAAAACAATCGAAAGCGACTATTCACCCATACATATTGAGGATAGTAATGATGACAACAATAATAATAATAACGATACGATATACCGGCTTGCCGCAGTAATGCAGAAACCTTTCCTGGATAAATG